AAAGCACTTTATTTGTAGCCTATTAAGTGCTGCAGAATAGATTTATTTTTAATTTGTTTTGTCTTTTTTTGTCTGCACAACTGGGAAAAGTTTTTTATATATATTTTGGATATAGAATATACTGTTACTGTATATTGGCATTTTAGCAGAACGTTTTTTATTCATTTATTTAATTATTTATTATTATTATTATTTATTTGGTGCGGAATACTGCTTTGTATTTAAACTAAGGTTTTGTTGCTGTTATTATGTTTAAATCAGTTCCAAGTTACACAAATGTTAATATATTTTAATAAAGTTTGCCTGTTCAACATAATATCAACCAGGGGTGTCGTTAGGCCTATTTGAGGGGGGCTGAAGCCCCCCTCAAATGTTCTTCAGCCCCCCCAAATAATTTGGCATTATTGGCTTTAAAACAAAAAAACAAAAAAAAAATGTATTTTTATTTTGGTGATATCATTAAATTAAACTATTGTTTCTCACATGGACAAGTTATTTATAACTCGAACATGCTACATATGTGTGTGCGTTCTGGTTTGTATGTTTTCTCCCCCTTCAAATTACAATCCAACAGCCTATCATCATACTTAACGATATAAAGTTGACACTGTCAGGTCCATTCTCCATCCATTGTGTGCGGTCCCTCTAAGAATTAGGATTTGGGAGTGACGCGGATATTCTTTATTTGAGAAAAGTTCATATTTGTGTTGTCAAATTTCACTATGACCCTGAAATTCTGTCTCTTGTGTTATCATATACGACGATGACTGGCAGTGTCCCTACCAATGCTGAGACCAAACCTACACTATTGGTTTCAGCTCTGTGCTAATGCCAGAATGGAGGGAAAGTGTTAGAAGGAGTATGTTCAGCTACTGACTGAGTGGAGTAAGAAATCACACAGATCGACTGGGATGCATTGTCACCATTCCCAACAAGCACTGTATTAGACTCGCTACACAAGACTTGGATTGAACGGAGTCTGTATTCGATGCCAGACCGTTTTCACACCGAGGTCTGCCAGAAAAATGGGCTTGTTTTTTTCAAGGCAGAAATATGTGTGTGTGTGTGCGTCTCTCTCTCTCTCACACACATACACACACACACACACACACACACTCTCTCTCTCTCTGAGAGCTAATTATTTCTCCCCCGTTTAGAGCCAACTGTTTCTGTCATCTGTCTCTATAATGACCTCTGCAAGATGTGCATGCATGCACACAGCCCACTCTCTCCCTTTTTCTACAAGCACACAACACTCACACATGCAGAATTTTGCAGAGAAATAATACATGAACACACAACTTAAATGCTCTACTATTTAGTTGCAGTGGGCGTGTGGGAGACAGAATGAGCTACACCTGTAGTCCCAAAGTCCTGCTAAAAAAAATGGATTGATCAGTTGACACAAAATACATTCAATTTTGATAACCGTTTAGCCACTTGGCGCTGAAAGACAGAAAATTCATCCATAACTACAGTATTTTAATATATCATTTTGATAGTATTCAAGAAAAAACTAAGTATTCACTGGCCCCAACTTCTCAAATGCCACCTTTGTCACTGTTCCCTGATGTTTTATTGAGCAAACAATAAGTAATACAATACAACAGCAGTTTGGTTGTTTTATCAAGCAAACATGTCACAGTCCTCAGCTTTCATATGCTGTGTTCAGCGTCTCATATGTGAAGACTTCTCTGGTTTCTACCAGCACACATCTCATATCTTCGGGTTGTGGACAAATAAACTAAATGATGATGTCAGCTTGGGCCATGGGAAATTCTGACGGGCATTTTGTATTATATTCTGACATCTTGTGATAAGCAAGTCATTCATTTGAAGCTGCAACTAACAATTAGTGTGTTTATTGATTATTCGGTCAATTCTCTTTTTAAATGAATTGTTGGGTCTGTAGCTGCTGAAAAAACACAAAAAAGCCCAAACAACAAATCCCAAGGTGACATCGATTCATCCTTCTTCTTTAGTCCAAGTAAGATATTCAATCATCAATAATGCAAATAATACAAATTGAAGAGACTGGAAGCAGAAAATATTCAGTTTCTTCTCAACATCGATTATCAAAATTGTTGTAAATAATTTGTTTAATAATTGTTTTGAATCTGATTGTTTCTGCACTGAACTGATTAATCAGTAATGTTATTGTCAGATTAATCAACAGTGAAAATACTCCAAAGCACACATACACAATCCACAACACCACGGACGAAGACCTTCAGGCTATCTAAAATCTAAGAAAGAAAAACACAGCAAAATATGTGTCATTTATTGTCCTACCTAAAGACGAGGGAACTAACCGCCACCCAGTCCACACGTAATGGCAACCGTGGCTACTGCTTCTTTGGCACTGGCAATTCATAGTACGAGTACAAAAATAAACAGAACACCAGCAATGCAAGGTTACAAAAATTGTCCGTTTGTAAATACGATACTCATCAGGTGTATTTTTTTAGTTTTCCGATAGGCTGTTCGTTTCAATACTCAAGTGTATGTATTTCATTTTTTAATATTTGTTGTTCTGTACAAATCTTCAGCCTGCAATCTTTATCATGTAGAGGGAACCAGAACGGGCCCTACTTTGCTGATTATATATGCGTATGGTTCATACGCTGATTTTCCTGATTTTAAAGAATTCCTTGAAAATAAAAAAGCATCCTTGAGGAAAGAAAGAGTGGACTGACATATTTATGCTGCACACCACAGAAAAACAAAAGTGTCTCACAGAATCCTGATCTTAGGGTCTATTTATGATTCACAGGACTAAGACTCATCGTATGGCAACAACACCCGAATAAACAATATAGCTCCATCTCTCTGATTGTCTTGAAAAAAGTCAAAGCTGACCACAAATACATCTCCTGACTGAAATCAGAACTGTTGGATGCTAGGTTGAGGTCTTGGCATTCAGGGCAAAAATAAAATTTTTAACTTCCTCCAACTCAGTTTATTTTTTTCTTCTAAATCTAAATTGGCCCCTCCAACTTCATGTCATCATGTTGGCCCATGTCATGCTCTCTTGCAAAAACGTCAATCCTCTTTGACTCTGATTTGAATTGTAAATCTGAAATGTGATGCATGAGGTTATTTGGTAATGCTTTTAACATTTAACATATTCTAAAACAAGTCTGTCTGTCTGTCTGGAGAAAGTTATTTATTTCATTCGTTCATGTATTTCATCCTGTTTGAGTAACTCTAGCTCCTCTCACTCTATGCTACATGTTATACCACTGCCAAAAATAATTTAATCATCTGCAACTGATTAAACACGGATCTTTACATTTGAAATGCTTCAAAGGCTTTTCATTTAAAAGAAGACAAACTCTTTTTTTTTTACTTGAGATCTTATGACCCACGGAAGCTTACTGACAACTGAAAGCTTACTCCATCCGACTATATTTCTGATATCTAAATATCATATATCTACTGTCTGCTCATAAGAAAAAAACTCTACTCTCAGCTACATTTGCAGTAAATAGAAACAACAGAACTCCAATTTAAACCCTGTGCAGCAGCCCCTTATGTATATTTTACACAGCATCTTAAAATTAACTAAAATCACATCTCTGAAACTTTAAACTGATAATAATTAAAATTAATACAAGTGCATTCAGGGCGTGTCTAAATCCACTTTTGCTAGTTAAAGGGCTCATAATCTGGGTGCAAAGTAAGGGACAAAAAGGTTGTATTTAGTCTCTTGCCTAATTAATCATAGGTGTGTGTTTAAATTAAACCAATCATCACCCATTCCCTTTAAAAGCCAGGTTGGCCTGCACCTGGCGCATCGCAATTTAAATGGCGGATTCTGCAAACTTGAGAAACGAGCGGCTTTCTGCCGTGAAAATGTAGTTTTTGAAAGGCTGAATATCTTGATAGATAAACATGTTGTTAATCACATCCCTCCTTTTTCAATAACCTTTGACTTTGGGAATTTACAACTATCTGGAGTGTAAATGTTTGGATGACACGAGTCAGAAGCATACGAAGTAACCACTGGAACCTAAATCTAATAATAGTGTTATACTAATAACATTAATGTAGCCTGATCTTTATCTGCAACTACTCAGAAATACCAGCTTTATCCACGGGGAATAGACATGCAAAATAAAAAGCTGAGCCACATTCAAATGTTAATTTAGAATTCAAATGACAATGTTATGAATGAAGCTTCGAAGCATCCATCTCTTTCGTAGGCAACAGCCCTAGAATTGTCTTATATTGATGAGTTTCATATTCTGATTACGAGGAAACTCGGTTTACTATTTCTCACTGTCCATTTATGGGGGGTGCTGAGTCTGGAGGCTGCATTAAGCCTTGGTTACACTCGCTACCCGCGTGAGTGCACTGTCCACACAAAAACAGTGGACTCATCACTAGAAAAAAGCATGTGTTGGGAGATCCTCCGAGTGTGTGACAAGAGTTATCTTTTCCTTAACATGAATACAAACATTTTCACCATAAAATGGTGCACAAACGTTCACCAGAATGCAGGAAATGAAGTGCTTGACCCTCAAAATGTCCATTGTGAACTTGTAGGCACATCTATATTTCTGATCAGGTTCTTGTTGGTCAATGGTGCAAACGCGTTCTGCTGCCTCAAGATAGAAAGCACCAACAATGCGTCTGACTACATCTAATTTTAAGACCAACACACCCGTGGGAGCACAGACGGGCAGGAAATGTTGCATATTATACTTTCAACCTACATGTATATTTCTAATTTTCTTTATTGTATGGTGAGCAGATGCAACATTGTGTATTGCCAAAGAAGAAAGGGTCACAGCAGGATACTTGTTCATTTTATTATCATCAAAAGACAAAGATAATTGAAAGAGATGTGTGGGAACACAAACTATCACTGTGAATTCATGAGCAGTAGTAGAAATAGTGGGTGCCTGTGGCCTGCCTCCTGTTGCATACAATTTCCTTCCCATCCGGCTTTAAATTGCATGATGATTATGATATCTGGCATGAACGAGTTTTCTTACCTGGTTGTCAAATTTCAGTGACTGTGTGCCCACAAGGAAACGAATGGCATCCGTTTCAGCTGTCTGGGCAGTAAGCGCTCGTGCCTGTAAATTAGATGCAAAATAACATCACTGTCAATTCACATAAGCACGTTTAGCAGAATAACAGAGTAACGTTTAGAAAAGCTAAGACTTGCTAATAAGTGAAACAGAATAGAATAGAGCTAGCTTTCAGTCAGCTAAATAGTAAAGACAGTAACCTTACCTGGAATTCCAGACCATAAATAACAGGAGCGTCGTCCTCCATTATTCAGTCTGTTGCGAGAGGTAGAGCTTTCCAATCTTTTTTGTCTTTTAATAGTCGTCTTGCGATAAGGAAAACACTACAAAAATAATATTACTGCAATATGTATTGCTCCAAACCAACACAACACAGGCAGTAGCTGCACTTCCGCGATTTAAAACCTGGATAAAAGAAGCGTGCGACTAAAATACGTAACGACTGCTGTACAACATCGTGTAAGCTTATAAAAGTACGTAGACGGAGTCAAGAATACTAAAATATCGGTGGCATGAAATTTGTCCGCTCTGGAATACCGTACGTGTAGATTTCCTTTGGAGTTACGCATGCGCACTAGGGTTATATCTGTCAGTGCAGGAAGGTAAGAAACATAATCGTGTTTGTGTTTCAGTTTGTAATTTGTTGTCTGTCTTTGCGTGTTGATATTTTTAAAACCGTGCTATGGCTCGAGTTTTCTAAAGTGCGGACAGCTATAAGTCAAGCATTTATTTTACATTGTCAACCAGCTGCTCAGCTAAATTAGCGTGCAATAGCCAACCGGCTAATGTAGCATTAACGTTAGCAAAACAGTACAACAACCCAGAGATGTCTCGGGTAACATCCTTCGTGACAGGGCATTAAGCCTGAATCAAAGGTTTGGTGTAACGTTATCTGTTTACGTAACGTTAGCTTAATGCTGACGATAAGAGCTTGTAAAAACTGCGTTGCTTATAATGACAGTAAGTGACTCAAGAAAAATGTGTTGTACAATAACGCACACAATATTTGTCCGCCACTGTTGATATTAAATCATAAAGGTAATTTATTCATTTATTAGTGTGTTGAATTGTCAGGAGCAGTAAGATGGATAGTGGGGATTCTCCTGCTCAGCGGCCAGTCACGTTGGACATCACAGTGGAAGACGTAACCAAGGAAGCCCCGGACCCTCCGGAGCCAATCACCAGCCGGACACCCTCCAGAGACCTTGTTCCCCAGGCAGACAGCATCGACTTGAGCAGGGAGTTTGTTACCCCCCAGGAGGACAGCAGTGCTACACCCTCAGAGAGCCTGATGGACAAGCTCAACGACCAGATGATGGAGAGCGTCATGATTTCTGACTCACCTAATAACAGTGAGGAGGATGACGTAGCTCCCATGGAATCCTTTCTGGATGGAGTCGAGGAGGAAGAGGATTCACTGCAGACATCAGGCGACAAAGAGCAACAAAGTGAAATCGGACAGAATACAACTGAGATTACATTTTCACTGGAGGAACATGAGCAAGGTGGTTCTATGGAGAAAGCAGATGAGGACACAAAGGAGCAGGCAGACGCACAAGAGCAAGTCATAGCCTGTGTTTCACTTCAAGGTGATGCACAGAGCCCATCTGATCTTCACAGGGGGGAACCAGCACCACAAGAAGCTAAAGGGACGAGCCCAAAAGACCACCCTGTGCCGGTGTGCACTATATTCAGCCAGGGCAACCAGCTGAAATCTCTTGTGCCTGATGGCTTCCAGCCCACCCTCATCAAGTCCCCCAGCTTCAGCATGGGGAGTGGTGGAGGAGGCAGTGAGGCAGTGACCCCCAGCAAGCTGACAGCCCCCCTCGTGTGTCAGCCCAGCCCCAGCCTCAGTAAGTTCTTTACTGACAATGGACAGGTCAACCCAGCCTCCGACTTCTTCGATTCCTTTACCGTCCCCTCCTCCTTCATCTCAGTTTCAAACCCAAATGCTGAGATCCCTCCCGGCCCAGTAGCCATAGCCCACACCCCTGAGCGCCAGCTCTCTTCGACCTCCTCCACCATCTCCACCCCTGGTGGACCTCTGGACTCTGGTGCTCCCACCCCTAGTTCAGTGTTTGGCCCTGCCCCTACGGAATCTACCACCAAAGCCCAACTTCCTCCACCCCAGGCAGCTCCAGCTCCAACTCAAGCCGCCGCCCCGGCCACTCAGCCGCAGCCCTTCAACCAGCTCCAGGCCGTGTTCTCGGGCAGCGATGACCCATTTGCGACAGCGCTGAGCCTGAGTGAGGTAGACAGGCGCCATGATGCCTGGCTGCCATCTGAGGAGACCAGGAAGGTGTTGATCTCTGTGGCCACCCAGCAGTACAGCCCAGCCTACGTAGAGACCAACAGACTCACCATGCCTGGACTCAAGTTCGACAACCTTCAGGTAGGACAAGCACCTAGGCAGTAAAATGCTTATCATAAACATATGTCTTTAGATAGCCCTGGGGTGTCATTCAAAATAGTGATATATGTTGGCGATGGATGCCTTTTTTTTAAAGGGGAATCAACCAGAGTTAACACCTGAAGTTCACTTTACTCATCATAGTACTATAGTACTGTGTTAACAGTTGTTTGAGTCTTGAGACCAGACATTTTTTAAACCAAAAGCATGCATTACAGACGAGATTTGTGGAGTTTGAAAGTCGCTGACCACACCGGCATCACGTCAACAAGTGTCATTCATTCAAGGTGGAAAAGAACCGCCATGTCACTTAAGGAGAGAAACGGGAAAAAGGCTGTGGTGTAGCTGGTTAACTGAGGCTTTCACACTGAGATTTGAGGCAAAAATGAATAGTGAATATTCACTGTGGTGTGGTAAATCTGTAAATGATGCTACTATCAGTTAGTGGATGCTGATGGATGGCTAGCTTGAGTGGGAGGCTGCTGAGGTACAGTCATAAAGAATAACAGCGTCTAACTAAATGTCAACTTAAAGATCAAATAGTTAATGGAAAAAATTATTAGACATGTCATTGAAACAAATGTTTGTTAAACAAGAAATATATGCATACAAACCCAAACACGGCAAATTGAGTTGCATCATGGGTAATGTAGGATCCAGTGTTTGTGGGGTTTGACCCACACCAGCGACAGAAAGTCCGGATGCCTCTGCTGCTTTGTGTCATTTTAATATTCACTTTGTGGAAGTGCAGAACTAAATCATTGGACAAATCAGGAGAACAAATACTGCTAAAACAGGGCCTTTATTTAGTTATAAATTATATATAATGATTTTCAGAATTGTGTTCATTAAATAAAAGATGTTTCTTACATTGATTTGTTGTATATCTGAAATGGGAATTGTTATCATTACTATTATATTTAAGGCTGCAACTAATGATTCTTTTCAGTTGCGATCATGCTTTTTTTGCTTCAACCAACCGTCCAAAACCCAGAACAATTTGATTTCAATTTATATAAAAAGAGAGAAAAGCAGCAAATCGTCCCATTGGAGAAGATAGAACCTGAGAATATTGCAAAATTGTTGCTGATTAATTTTGTGTGGATTGCCTCATCAATTATTCCATAATTAGTTTCAGCTCTAGTGAAATATTAGTGTTGGTCAGAATCAACACTCTAATCAGAAGACTTGGACACTGAGGACCCAAAGTAACAACCCTTACTAATGATGGAAATGCTTACAAGGCTATGTATCTGGGTTATTTTCTGCATTGTTTTGAAGATTGCAGCGAGACATTAAAAACTTTCCTATAGTCTACGTATTATGGGAAGACATTTATTAGCATCGAAATAGAGTGGCCTCAGTCTTCACCGTGATCATTAGTTTAAACATGGTTAACATTGTACAATGTTCTTGTGTCTATCCCAGAATGACAGTGGCGTCAGTCAGAACTGCTCTGGCACAACAGATGCCGTGTCACTTGTCTATAAGCACATGTAGATAGACAGGCACCTTTCCTTGGCTCATGTGTCACCATATCATGTTGACGTCTCACAAACATCCTCTGAGCTCCTTCAACAGCAACGTTTATCCGTAATAACAACCCTGATGAAACATCAATTCACTTATTTATTCAATTGAATCATATGTTGTACGTCCACCTCCCAGCTTAGATTGTGTTCATTATGCCCTCAGTGTGTTTGAATGCCTGCTTGAATAGATGAATAAAAATCAAGGTCCCCCCCCACCCCCCCCCCCCCCCCCCCCCCCCCCTCCTCCTCTCCCCCCGCCTTC